TTTTTTCTTTCTTATTATTTGATCAATGAAATCCTTTCTTTTTTTTCATTGGTTCTTTTCTTTCTTATTAAAAATATATTTTTTTCTTTATTATTTACAATTTGTTTTGGTTAGATTAAAATTTTTTGATTGTTTAAAAATTCTGGCCTTTGGTCTGGTGAACTTTTTTGTTAAAAAATTGCCGCCAAACTTCCAATCTCTTTTTTCCAATAAATTAATGGTAATACTAAAAAAAATAAATTACGCCCTTGTAAAATAAAATAAAAAAAAAAATATTATTAGGGTTGAATACTTATGTTTATGTTATGTTATGTTATGTTATATTGTATAACAATACGCATTATACATTAATACAACATTTTAACCTTTTTAAACATTTAACACATTTTTTGGTTCCGAGTAAAAAATTATAATTTAAATTCCCCGATCCGAGACTCCGAATAAATGTATATATAATTTTAATTAATTCGGCTTTTTTTTTTTTTGCACCAACTTAATAATGTCATAACGGCGATAATTATCCGAGTAAATCCACATGTATTACCAATGATGACCATACTATAAATGAATAAGTTAAACGCGTATCACGTTCTGTATCACGTCAATGTTCCGCGTTTAGAGTTAATGTAATAAATAAGTAATATTTTATTTTTTTTATTTTTAGTATTTCAAAGTTTATTATTTATTTAATAACACGAATTATGATTAATATGATAAATTTGAATGATTTTCCTTTGACCGATGACCGATGTTTAAATGATTTTAGAATATTTTTAGAATATTTTAGAATATTTTAGAATGATTTAGAATGATTTAGTTTAAATCAACATGTTTAATCAACATAATCAAAATAAAATTGGTTTAATCAACATAAAAAAAATTTTTTTTTTTCTTATTGGTTTATCACCCGCTTTAAATCTTGATTGGCTTTATTAACAATTGTATACAAGATATACAGATATACAAGAGTAATATATATATATGTATATATATATGTATATATGTGTATATATATATGTACATTTAGAATATATTATATTGTTGAACATAAACAAAAAATTTCGTAACTCTCTTTTTTTATTTGCCATATTTCCTAATTTGTACATTATTTTTGGAAAACCTCGCGCCACCTTTTTTTTAAAAAAAAAATTTATTGTTGTAGAATGTGTTGTAAGAATGTGTTGTAAAAAATGTGTAATGTTTTTTCTTTCTTTCTAATTTTTTTTTTTCTTTTCTTTCTTTCTTTTTTCTTTCTTTTTTTGGCGTGAAAAAAATAATAATAATAAAAAATAATAAATAATAAAAAATAATAAAAAATAATAAAAATAANGCTCATTGGAGTTCTCACTGAATGCAATAAGGGATATTTTCCAAAAAGGAAGAAATATCGTGTCTCCTATAAGATACGTGCTCTTTAGAAGTTCCAGGGAATCCTGTAACTAAGAATATCTCTCCGATCGTTTAGATCTTCCAAAAAAGGAAGAAATATCGTGATGAACGTCATAGGAAATCCTATATTATGAGATATGTACTTTCGGGAATTCATCTCACTGAACGCGATATGCTTTCTTAGATCTTCCAAAAGGAAGAAATAAGTCAATAAACAATTCCAACGGATAAATAGACGTGTCAAATTCACATGACTGACGCCACACCCGGATTGTAGACAGATGTGTATAAGAGACAGATATTATTTATTATTGAAAATGATTGGGAATGGAAAATCGATTCCATAAACATAAAAGGGATTTTTTTTTTTTTACTACTAGTAAAAAAAAAAAAATTTTGAATGAAAAAAGCTTGTTTAACTTTTAGGATTTTTTTTTTTTAAAGATTTTTTGGAAAAAAGAAAAATTGAACTAAACCTTTTATGAATAAATTTTTTTTAATTTCTCTTTTTAAAAAAAAAAAATTGAAAGCTTAAACCTCTTTTAGTATAATAAAATACATAAAATGTATGATTAATTATGATTAATTATGATTGATGTGAATTTTTTTTTTGTAAATATTTTAATTAGATCATTTACATTGAAAGAATGATTTCGTGATTTTTAAAATTATAAATGATTTAATGATTTTAAAATTATTATTGGATCAAAAAAAATATTAATAATAAAAAAAAAGTTCTTTGTTAACGAAAGATATCATTGTAATTTATGATATTTGTTTTTTTTAAAAAAAAAAAGAAAAAACAAAAACAAATCAATTATAATGATTGCCAAGAAAAGAAAAAAAAGTCCCGAAACTTGAATAATTTAAAATACTTAATAAAAGATATATATATTAAAGGATTTGTAAACTAATGTAAACTAATGTAAGGTATGTAAGATATGTAAGATATGTAATATATGTGAAAATTTTTTTTTTTTTTAATTAATTTATTTGACATAAAAAGTAGTAATTGTAAACAGTAATTTTAAATAAGTTACTACTGAAAATAGTAAATTGTAAACTAATAGGAAATTATTGTATATCATTTATATCATTTTATTTATGTTTACTATATTTATACATATGATTTTTTTTTCTTAACCAAAAGGAAAATAATTTTTTTCACTTTTCCCGTATCGTATCGTATACAAAACATATAAACATTATTCAATCGTTTCAATAAATATATATATACATATAACAATCACACCATAAAATTTTCTTTCCTAATATTCCCATACTATTTTATTATTTTATTATCTAATTATAGTTAAGAATAACTTTATACAGTATATGGTTCGGCTTATGTATTTTGTCAATTATTTTTGATGTTTTTAGTAAATCACATGATATTCATATTGTATTTTACTATATTTATATAATTAATGATTTTAATCTAATTTACATGATTAATCTATTTGCATGATTAATCATTACTTACAAATTACTTATTTTTTCCGGTTGATTAGATATGCGTTTACTTACTTACATTAGTTATAATTACAAATTGTTTTAAAATGAATGATAAGAAATTTTATTTCACGAATATAGACTTCTATTCTGTTTTAATAACTTCTATTCTGATTAATAATTTTATTATCGATCGTCCTCTCCAAAAATTGAATAGGGGGTTTCATTCAAAAAAAAAAAAAAAAAAAAAATGTTTCATTTAAATAAATTTATTCGTTATTCAGGATCCTACATCAATCTTGGTCTAACGATTGCAGATACTGTGTAATTTTACTTTTTATTGATATCATAATTATTTAAAATGATATCGGTTTGGCTGAGGAAAGGATCGTCTTAACCAACAATTTTTAAATTTTATGGGTCTATAATTTAGGGTTTTAGATCCGGATTATCCGTTTCCGTGACTTCCGCCCGTTGTCAATATACTTTAAAGTTATCTTTAAAAAAAAAATAAGCTATTGATTTTTTTCATTTAAAATTAAGGTTTATCCTTAAAACTGACATCAATTCTTCACGTGTTTTTTTTATTACAGGTAAATTTTTAATTTTTTTGTAAGGGGGGGTGTTGTTACTGGCATTATGATATTAGCGTACTTATGATTCCTCCTTTGATTTCCATTAAAAGACGTAAAATGTCATTAAATCCCACGTTATGATGGTTTGTTTCAGGGTATAGGAAATCATATGACTCTTATACCGTAGAATTCTGGGAAGGAGTTCAAGAATATCTCACTGAATGCAATAAGGGATATCTTCCAAAAAGGAAGAAATATCGTGATGAGCATGAAAAATGGCATGTCTCCTATATTTTGAGATACAGTCTCTTTAGAAGTTCCGAGGAACCCTGTAATGAAACTAAGAATATCTTACTGAATGCAATAAGGGATTCCAGATCTTCCAAAAAGGAAGAAATATCGTAAAATGTCATGTATGTGATCTTTAGAAATTCCGGGGAATCCTGTTCCGGGGAATCCTGTAATTACTGAATGCAATAAAGGATATTCCTGTTTTCCTAGATCTTCCAAAAAGGTAGAAATATCGTAAAAATGTCATGTCTCCTATGTTATGAAATACGTGCTCATTGGAGTTCTCACTGAATGCAATAAGGGATATTTTCCAAAAAGGAAGAAATATCGTGTCTCCTATAAGATACGTGCTCTTTAGAAGTTCCAGGGAATCCTGTAACTAAGAATATCTCTCCGATCGTTTAGATCTTCCAAAAAAGGAAGAAATATCGTGATGAACGTCATAGGAAATCCTATATTATGAGATATGTACTTTCGGGAATTCATCTCACTGAACGCGATATGCTTTCTTAGATCTTCCAAAAGGAAGAAATAAGTCAATAAACAATTCCAACGGATAAATAGACGTGTCAAATTCACATGACTGACGCCACACCCGGATTGTAGACTTATAGATAATGCATCTAATTGTGAATATATGCTAATAAATATCTTTTCAATGCGTATAATGACTTAATGAGCATCCCGATTTTAACACACGAGATGTAATAACGAACGTAAAAGACAATGCTTAAATAGATCAATCTAAAGCTCTAAAAAATTTTACTTTATTTGATACATTAAAGAAAATTTATATACTATGTGCAGTGCAAGAATCTTATTATTGATTCAGCCATGAAAAACTTAAATAATATCCCATTAATCTAAAATTCTAAAAATTTTTATTTTATTTGACACATAAGAAAATTATATTTGTATACACACATCTATATGCAAAAATCTAGAGTTCTAAAAATTTTTATTTTATTTGACACATAAGAAAATTATATATATATATACACATCTATATGCAAAAATGATCCAGCCATGAAACCTATCTTAAAACCTAAAGCCTCACAAAGTAGATAATATATCACGATTGAAATCTCAATTTCTATTTTATTGGTTCAACAATGTATAACCATAAAATCACGAATTTTATGGTTCTATTTTCATTTCAATTTCTTCTCCTCCTCCTCCTTCTCCTCCTTCTTGTTGTTGCTGCTGTTGCTGTTGTTGTTCAGGTTGAGTAGGTAAAATAACATGTTGTTGTTCACTACATGCTAATAATGTTTGTATTTGAAATTGTAATTTATAAGTTTGTTCCAATAAATTTGTTAAATGAGTTTTTTGGGTATCAGATTCCTAAAAAAATTGATTTTTTTTTTAAGAAAAAGAATTTATTAATTAATATTCAACTTATCATAAATATATAAAGAAAGTACCTGTAATAGTGAATCACGAGTTTTAATCAATTCATTAATTGCAGTATTACTCGTTGAACTTTCGGTTTTAACCTAATTAATATTAATTAATCTTTCACGTTATTAAAAAAATTTTATGGGAAAAAATATTTTTATAAAAAAACTTGCCTCATCTTTTTTTTCAATCTCCTTCTTTCTTTGAAGTTCCATATTATCAATATTTTCTTTCAATTCTTTTTCATGATTTTTATAAATTTCATAACATAATATAACTTTTTGTCGTTTTTTTTCTTCTTCTTCATTATTATTATTATTATTATTTTTATCACCACTATTACCTTCTTTATTTATTAAAGGTGAAGAAGAATAATCTAATAATGAATTAAATAATTCTCCACTAGATTCTATTAATGATTCTAAAGTTGATAAACTTGTTATCGTCAATGATTCTAATGGTGATGGTGTTATAGTAGTAGTAGTAGTAGTATTAGTAGATAAAAAAATATCACTTGATGATGATGGAAAAGTGGTATTTAATGATGGATTTGTAGGAATTGTAGGAATTGATATAAAAGGTGAAAATGTAATATTATTATTGTTGTTATTATTACTATTATTATCTGTCATAATTAATTAAATTTTTTGATTATATTTTATATAAAAATAAATCAAAATTATATTAATTATGATCGTGAAAATTGATACGAAAAAGTAAAGAAAAAAATAATTAAAATAATAATTTGGAAAATATTTTGTAAGTATTGAACTTATTATAACTGAAAAGATGAAAATTTCTAATAATAAAATTTCAAAAATCATTTAAGAGTTAAAATTTTTTTTTTTTTTTTAAAGAAAAAAAAAAAAAAAAATTTTTTTTTATTTGGTTAAGCCACTGTGATTATCAATCAATTCACATGATTTTCATACGTTTGGGTGAAAAAACATTCTGTTATTAATAATATTTTTTTTTTTATGGGATATTGTGAAATAAATAATTCAGGCTAGATAATAAATAATATCACATTCAAAACATCATTTGATTGACTTATAATGCAATAATGGAATTTAAGTGAAATAAATAATTCTGCTATATAATAATTAAGTTAGACAGTAATAATTGTATAATAATCGTATTAAATATAAACCTTGCATACGGTAGTAACGGTTTTGTTATGTTTATTGTTAACTAGTTGTAAGAGGATTAATCAATACCAATTTGTACATATCGTATTAATATCAATGCTATTCTATCTTTTCCCGGTGATATTTATAAATATTATAATATTTGAAAGTTCGCTAATATTATATCTCGGAAAAAAAAAAAGATATTTATTCTAAGCTAAGAAATTATTATGGAATTTTACCTCGGATATTATAATATTTGAGTTCGCTAATATTATATCTTACAGAAAAAAAAAAAAAAAAATATTTATTCTAAGCTAAGAAAATATTATTGAATTTTACCCCCACTAGATCCCCCAAAATCATAATAATATTTTAAGAAATTATTAAACCCAAATATATACACTATTACATTTATATGTGTTATATATTCATTTATTTTCTATTCATTTTTCGATTTCTTTATAAAAGGTACTTTGATTCTAACAATTATAAAAATGATTAACATAGCTAAAGAACCTGAAGCGTAACAAATTCCAGATCCTGAAATCCAATATAATCCGCAAGCAGCAATTGGTCCGAACGCTCTACCTAGTTGTCCAGAAGATCTAAACTTTCCTAAAGCTTCTCCTTTTGGTATTAGGGTATTAATATTTTGCGTATCATCTTCTCCTTGAACTTCATCTATTTGTTGCAGTTCATCATCACATTGCATTGAAGCTATTGATGTTAAACAATTTACTACAGTAGCAGAAGTAAGAGCCAAAAAAGCAGCACCAATATAAAGCCAAGTTATACCATCAATATAAAGCAAAGTTTTACCATTTGATAATTTGGTCAAATATGAAATAATGGCTAAAGCAATTGAACATGATAATACTCCTTGTATTACCAATCTTTTCTCTCCTATATTATGCGCTTTACGTCTAACATAACCTCCTTGTATAATAGCTGATAATATACCTATGAATCCTAATAATTTACCATTTTGCATATTTGTGAAATCGAATAAATCGAATGTTAAGAATGTTAAAGTAAATTCCATTCCAGCAAAAAAGAATAAATAAAGGAAATGTATCCAATTTAATATTCTTAAATTTGATTTTCTTTCTGATACTGAAATTGTATTAATATTATACTCTGGTTGTTCTTCTTTAGTGTTGAAAGATTCTTCTTGTTGAGATGAATTTTTTTTTGAAATTTTTGCTGTTTCTGGTAATGCTAAATATATATATAATGTTTCAACACTTAATAATATTAATGCTACAAATGCTGGCATTGAATATGGATTTAAACCCCATTCAACAAATTGAGGAAATAATTTTGCTAGATCTTTTGATGCAAAATATGCTCCAAGTGCTGGTCCTAATGTAAATGAAATTGCAAATGCTATTCCAACTAATGCCTGTAATATAAAATTACATTAATTAAATATCAAAAATAATGTGTAAAGCGAAAAAATATATATAATTTGTTCATGCATATGCATGAACGGATTATTAGATGGGTAAACCGTAAAATACCCATCCAATAAAAGTATTGCTTATCACATGATTAACCTTGTCACAAATTACTTACCAAGCCTCTTGATCTGGTCTTTTGCGTTGTAACATCAGACACAATAGCTATGGATAATTGTACATTTCCTTCACTTAACCCACCAACTATACGAGCTAATACGAACCAACCAAATGATCTTGCAAATAACCATAGAAATGTCGATATAATATTACCAATCTATATTCAAAAATATGGAAAAATAGTTAGTATAAATATACGAATTACACACACATATAAACCGAACGGAAAAAGCACTAACCATAGTAACTAACAATGTTTTTCTTCTCCCAAATCTATCAGAAAAAGCTCCAATAAATGGTGATGCAGCAAATTGTAGAAAAGAATATAATGATCCTAATGCTCCACCTAATAATACTAAATCCCATTTCGGATTTGTTCCTCCTCCTATTATTTCTTTAAATATTTGTATTTGCTTTAAAAACAAACTTAATAATGTATTCTATATAAAAAGAAATATATTTTATTAAAATAAAATAAATAAAAATAAAAATAAAATCAAGTATACCTCATCGCCTTGTTCTCTAACCCGATATTCTTGTAATAACCTAGGGAATAATGGTAAAATTATGGTAAAAGCTAAAATATCAAGTAATAAGGCAATAAAGACCACTCTAACAGTCTTTGATGCAACTTTTGGTGAAGTATTTTCATTATTTTTTATTTCTGTTTTTGAAGACATTGTAGAAATTGTTAAAATTTATTTTCGCGTGTGGTGACCGCAACTATTAAAAATTCTGACCAGTAAACACTCATCTTATCAGACTGCGGGTTTGATTGGGCAGATCTTCATCGTATAATACAAATATATATAAAACTGAAATAACGAACGGAATTTACCAGACCAATAATTTGAAACACCGAAACTTTCTCTAAATTGGGTACTTGTCAATGCGTCCATTAAAGTTTAATACAGACAATCAAAAATTAAAACGTTTCATCTTAATAAATGATTTTCCTAATTTGTTTTTTTTTTTAAAAAAAAAAATATGTATGTATAATATTGTATATTATATTAATAATAAATGTATGATGGTAATATATCTCTTGCAATATTTGCAATATACATAATGCATAATTTTTATTTCAAGAAACAAGAATTTGAGTATTCAAGGAAATACTTTTTTTAAGGTAAAAAAAAAAAAAAAAATCTTATTTGCATTGTTTCAAATTTTTTTTTTTTTTCGATCTTACCCTTCGAAAAAAAATAAATTTAAACACACGATTTCTTGCTTTTTCTTTGTCGTTTGTAACAGCTGAATAAATTCATACATTCACATTGCCACACAGGACTTTAACGCGGTTAACTGCATGCATAAATTTTCTATTTATATAATATATTTTACATTCAAGCTGCGGTATATGCTAAATAAAACGTAATTATGCGTCAGAAAACTAAAAATGAGTTAATACTAGTTAACGCAAACGTCCAAGACCCATGTGATATATAGAACCAAGATGAACAAAAGTTTATTTTATTGCGTGTAAAAAGTACATGCGAATGTGAGAAAGTATATATGCGTATAAAGTATGCATATATGCGTATAATGGTTAATTAATTAAGAAACCTTCTTAAAAAAACTTGGAACAAATTTTTTTTTTTTTTAAAAAAAAAAATTGGTATGCATTTATTTAGATTCTGCTGTTGAAAATATTCGGCAAGATGGCTTTTTCTTCCTCACCAAATTTATATTAATTGAAAAGAAAAAAAACCACAAGATTGGTTGAAAATTTTGAAAATTGTAAATTCCCATTTTCGCATGTTTTTAAACCTTTCTTTTTTGCAATTTTAATCCGGATCATCTAATCCTGGTAAAAGTCTATGGGAAACCTGATGATAATCTGGTTCTGTAATTAGTGATTGGTGGAAAAATTATTATAATTTAGGCGGGAATTATTTGTTTGTATTAGATGAAACGCTAAAAAAAAAAATTCTTGTTTAAATATATTAAAATTATATTACAAATTAGTAATAAATCCTTTATTACCTAATATTTAAACATTAAATGTTAATAATATTTGTTTGATTGCAACTGGCTGAACATTTTTCTTTCTCTTTTTTTTTTTTAATTATCACATTATTCACATTATTTATAATGATTATAACGGAAATATCTCTTTCATTACACGCAGTATTAATATTGTTATTATTTATTATAATCGATCCGGTTTAAAATAAAATCATTTGAAAATCCTAAAAATGTTTTCCTTTCGTTGATACAATCATAGGTATATTTATTTATTTATTTGTTTTTTGTTTATTATAAACCTGTTTAAATTAAAGTGCTAATTAAAATAAACCACTTGGCTGTTTTTTAGGATTCCATGATGAAGACCAAAATAAAACAATCGCTCTTTATATGTAATGTTATAGTAAATACTTGATGAATTTCAAGTAATATTGGATGTGTTACCAGATCATCGTACTATATTTTATATCATTTAACAACATTTCAAATTTGTATTACAAAATTATAATTTGTATTACTATAACTTCCATGTTACTTTCAAACGAGTGGCTGTTTTAGGTATCACAGGTATAAAAAAAAAATTGGATATAAATATATATTATATTCTTCTCCATTTTTTACGGAGTTTTTTTTTTTGTTTTTGTGAGACTTTCAAATATAGATTTGAGTAATATTTTGATCTATATTACCCTTGTAATTTCACACTTTTCTGAAAACCTTCAAAAAGGTTCAGTAACTTTCTCCCTTTAAACGCAAGAGAAACGATGCCATTTACTTGCCTTCCTTATATTACCGTATAATCGATTTATTCCACTTTCATTTTTTTCTACTCTTTACCTAAATATCAAAGTACTTTCTCTTGCTTTATCGTTTCTCGTCTTTTTTTCTTTTGCAAAATATTATAAATATTACCTACACTAAAAAATTTAATAACTTTTTACTCATCTCATCTGAATAAATCTTTTTTAAAAGAAAAAGTGTAAAAATTGTACAAAAGCTTTGTTCATAATTTCTCTTAGACTTAATTTTTTTTTTCTCTTATTCGAACTATTTTTTTTTTTTAGACCTTTTTTTCTTCTTCTCTTCTCTTTTTTTTTTAATATTATCTCTTTTGTTAAAATTTTTTTTTTTGACTCGCAATCACAAAAAAGTATATATATATATATTTCCTTTTTTATTAATTATTTTTATTTTTATTTTATTTCTCTTCTCTTTTTTTTTTCTGCGAGTGTATAAAAAAAAGTTCCTTTATTATACTATTAAAATCTACTTAATAATATATTATATCTTACTATTATATTAAGAAATATAACATCGTTTGTTCCTCTTTAAAGATGATCCCGCGTACCATGATGGATGACTCAACGTCCAAGGGTAAAGCTGATTTACATCAGCCAAAGGCAAATAATAAACCACAGGGTCAGGTTAGTGTAACTTCACCAATAGTTTTTTATGGTTAATGATTTTGATCGTTCTTGATCAAGACTTGATACATACATTATATTTGCATACCCATCTTAGTAATGTAATTTAATAAGATTCCTTAACAAAAAAACTAAACTATGTTTTCTTTTTTATCTCACTTTCTTCCCCTCTCTTTCTTTTTTCAACCTTCCAACACTCCAACATTATTCTCCAATCTTCCAACCTTCCAACTTTTCAACACTACTTCCACCTTTCATACCTTATTCATATGTAGCAATTGGCTGCTCTTTTAAGAGGAAAACTTGACTATGATTATGATATGTTTGGAACACAAAGACAAGAAGTTAGTCGTTCAAATAGTGCTCCGCCAACTCAAGTGGTGGATCAGCTTAGTCGGTTCGATCCTTCAGAAATAGATCCTTCTTCATTAGATCCACGTTTAGACCCTGATTATCCAGCATATTTTTATGCAAATTCACGTCTTGATCCCAGACTTCCACCTCCTTTGTATACTCCAGGGCAATCTTGGCAATTATGGGCTGGTAGCGGTTTAGGTGGTTTAAACAATAAATCTAATAACGGTTCTTCTAACCAACCTCCAAAATCTAAAATTTTGGAAAAATTTAGAGGTTTAGGTATGTATCATTTAAAATCTGTCATCATAAAAAAAAAAAAAGAAAAAAAAAAAAAGAAACAGTAATGAGTTTACAATGATTAATATCTGTAGATCAGTATCACTTTTAAAGTATTAAATTAAATATTTCCATTAACCTATTAAGTCAACAATTTCCATATTTGTAAAAAAAATACACACTTTAAATATATGACACATATTCACGCATTTAATATACATAAATTCTCAACTAATATATCCAAAATATTTTCTTTTTGATTTTTCATTTATAAATAATTTTTTAACAAATTTTATTTTTACCTTGATGTTGTCATTTGTAATTATTTTATTAGATGCCGATGATGATTTTCTACGTGAACATCCCTTGGATCAAAGTTTAGAACCGGAAAGTCATTCAACATTTGGAGCACAACAGGATTTTCCCAATGAAACTGGTGGTCAATATGAACAATTCGGTACCCATGTTGGCAGCAGTGCTGCATCGCTTTGGAGGAATGAATTGACATCTCCACCACCTCAAATGGGAGCTAATGATCCAAATTCACAAAATAAACGGAAGAATTTAGTTGATATGATCCAAGAAGATTTCCCACGAACTCCCTCTCCAATGTATGCTCTTAGACAAGCTCAAGCACGAGAACGTCAAGCACTTGCTGAAGCTAATGTAGTTCCATCAAATACTAATGTCGATATGGGAAATGATACGTTTGACGTTCATGATCTTAGAGCTGCCCTTGAATTGGAAGATCCACTTGGTCACTCAAACCATTATTCAAATTTGCGTATTCCACAGAATGATGATGAACATATGAATATGAAATCCGTTGTTAATGCCGCTCTAGATGAAGATTATGAACATCGAATAGGAGCCTATACAAGGGGAACTTCACCTCCACCTTCACTTCGTAATACTAAATTTTCTCCACCACCTCGTGCTTCATCTACACCACCTACTCAAAATCATTTTCGTAATCATGCCCTTAATTTTCCACAAGAATTTCATGGAGATTTGTCTCATAATGATTTATACTATAATTTAAAAAGTTTGGAAGGAACTGTATGTATTGTTTACTATTTCGAAAATAATAATTATTATTATGCAACAATGTTACAATTAATTAATTTGATATAATTTTCTTTAGGATGATTATGAAGCTCTCCAACAGGCTCATCTTATCCGTCAACAACAACTTAAGCAACAACAGCAACAACGTTTGAAGATGCAACAATCGCAATACAGCTCTTTGTTCAATGATAGTCCCACTTCGACCGGATATCAATATGGACTTGGTGATTATTTTTTTTTTTCTTTTAATATTAATTTTAAAAAATTAATTAATTTACATCTTTTTTTTTAAAAAAAAAATACTTTCGTTTGTTTATTAATTTAACATTTTAAAATAAATTATCTGCAGAGCCCTATAATTCTTCTGTATGGGATGCACGCGACGAAGCTGTTTTAAGTCGAAATCTTCTTTCGGCTGATTTAGCATATGGACGTAGTAATTCTTTGAGTGCTTTAAGTTCTGGACGAGGTTCTATAGACTATCAAAAAGCGCTCCAACAACAACAACTTGGTTCAATCGGTGGTAGTAGAGCCGAACAATTGCTATCGTCTGAATATGGTACAACAAAAGCTAGTCCGTATTATAATTCATCTAATCTTAGCAATAACGGTGGTTTGAGTTCTCTTGCACAAACACGTGCTGCAAGTCTTGCTGAGAAAAATTTACGTATACAATCTCAGCAATTGATGATTCAACAACAACAACTTAAACAACAACAAATGATACTTGCTAGAGAACAATTGCTAAGACATCATCATTCTGCTGAATATTTGAATGGCATTGGTGGATACGGTGGTATTGCTAGTGGACGTCGTAGTCATGATTTGAGTTCTAGCATTTCAGATCCTGGTCATGGAATGAGAAGTCCTTTATTAGAGGAATTTAGAAATAACAAGAATAAGAAATATGAACTTAAAGTAAATAAAAATTTCTTAACTAAATAAAAATTCCTTTTTATTAGGAAGAAATATTAACTTATGATTTTTCTTTATAGGACATTGTTGGTAATATTGTTGAATTCAGTGGTGACCAACATGGATCACGATTTATTCAACAAAAATTAGAAACTGCAAATAGTGAAGAAAAACAATTAGTCTTTGACGAAATTCTCCCCAATGCTTTGCAATTGATGACTGATGTTTTTGGTAATTATGTAATTCAAAAATTCTTTGAACACGGAAATCAAATGCAAAAGACGATCTTGGCTAAACAAATGGAAGGTCATGTTTTATCATTGGCATTGCAAATGTATGGATGTCGTGTTGTTCAAAAGGTATGTATATATAGTGGTTTGATAGATGAAAATTTTTTTTTTTTTTTTTTTTACTAAAAAAATTATTTGCACTATTTTTTTCGTCAGGCCCTTGAACATGTTCTTACTGAACAACAAGCTACTTTGGTTAAAGAACTTGATGGACATGTACTTAAATGTGTTAAAGATCAAAATGGCAATCACGTCATTCAAAAGGCTATTGAACGTGTCCCAGCTGAACATATTCAATTCATTATTAATGCTTTTCACAGTCAAGTATATAATCTTGCTACACATCCTTATGGTTGTCGTGTAATTCAGCGCATGTTTGAACATTGTACAGATGAACAAACGGTAAGAATAAATTTTATCGTAAGTTTAAATTTTTTGAAGAAAAGGGTTATGTATATATATAATTTTTTTAATCGCTTAATTTTTTAAACTTAATTACAGAAACCACTTTTAGAGGAACTTCATCGGTATACTCAAAATTTAGTCCAAGATCAATACGGAAATTATGTCATTCAGCATGTTTTAGAGCGTGGAAAAGCAGCCGATAAATCAATGGTTGTAGCTAAAGTTCGGGGCAATGTCTTACAGATGTCAAAACATAAATTTGCCAGTAACGTTGTAGAAAAATGTGTTGCTTACGGTAGTAAACGGGATCGTCAAATGTTGATCGAAGAAGTTATTATGACCAAACCTGATGGGTGCGTAAAATTATTTTATTTTTTTTTCGTTTTAAACGATTTATTTTATTATATTATTATAATTATATTAATTATTATATTATTATTATTATTTTAATAGTACATCACCTTTAATTTCAATGATGAAGGATCAGTATGCTAACTACGTTGTCCAGAAAATGCTTGATGTGGTTGATGGTGAACAAAGAGATTTATTAGTCGCAAAAATCAAGCCACATTTACAGTCATTGAAAAAATACACTTATGGAAAACATCTTATTTCAAGTAGGTTAAAATTCTCGTTTACTAACTAATGATGTTGTTGTCATCTCCGAAAAGAAAAAATTAGGGATGCCTTTTTTTTCTTATTTAGTTTTGTTATTATTTTGTTATTATTGTAAATGCGTATTCTTGAACAGAGGTTGAAAAGCTTATGATCATCACAGAAAATCAGAAAAATAGTCAAAACGGCGGCGGTCTTTCAATTGACGGAATGTCAAGTACCGGCCTAGTATCACCCGTTAGTTCTACTACACCTCTTGGCACTGGTAATAATACTCCAGATATGTCATCATCACCACCTGTCGGTCCTGTTACCAACGTACCAGCACCAGTTATGCCCGAACAAATCTAAAGAAGACTATCTCCTAACGATGTTATATATATAATTTTCATTTTTTTTTTATATTAGTGGGTTATATTCCTTTCCTACTTTTTAGAATCGGTTTTGGTTTGGAAATAAGGAACCCAATATTAATTTATATATATATATATAATTTTTTTTTTTTTTTTTTGCTTTTATATATCTTTTTGCACGAACTATATATACCTAATATTTTCTTGATGACAATAATTAAAATAAGTTGTTGTATATAATAACTAGTTTCTTGTCATCAATCTTATATAAAATACAATATTACCCTTTTTTTCTTTTTATTTTTTTGAACATATTTTTGATCTTTTACCCTTCTTACTACTGTACAGGTGTACTTAAAAAAAATATTTATATATATTCTTCCCCCCTTTTCTTTTTTTCTTCCTTTGTTTAAAAAAACTTTTTTTTTTCTTGTACGTACTATTTTTTTTTTTCCACAACATTTATATACATATTCAAAATGTCAGAAATGAATGAATGGTTTAAGTGGATTGTTAATGATATTTTTATAAATAATTTATTGATTCATCTTTTTTTTAAAAGATGAGGATATTATTGTAAATGAAAGATTTATTTGTGATTGTTAAAGAAAAAAAAATTTTAGTAATTAAAAAAAAAAAGTCTTTTTTTTTATAAACATATTATTAAATGATGTAAAATCAGCATTTATAATTTAAATTATTATTTTTTTTTTCAGGTTATTAACTTGTTATGAATACATTTTATTTTATCTTTATTTTTTATTTTACTTTTTGCATTTTTGTTATTATTTTAATTTAATAAATTTAATAAAAATAGAGAGGATTTTTTATCTCGGTAATTATTATCACGTGATTGTATGAATTAACAGATTTATTTAAAAAATTTAAAAAAATCAAAAATCAATAAAATCAATATATGGTGTACATAACATACATATATATATAATAATATAAAGAAAAAACATATAAAAAAACTATAACAAAATATAAGTGATATAAGTGATATAAAATTTTTTTTCTTTTTTTTTGCGTATCAAACGCAAAAAAAGTACATATAAAAAAAAATAAATGTTTTTTGATTATATATTTTTGATAAATTATATTTAAAGTCAACTTGTGAAAGTTTTTCTTTTTTTTTTTTAAAAAAAAAAAGTCTATTCTTTTTGAAAAATATATATTGTTTATAATATATATATATAATCGTTCAATAAAATTCTCTTATTCTTCAATACTAAAGTTCTAAACCCAAATAATCGTTTCCTAAATTTTCTTTAATTTCACTTCCCCTAATAATTTATTTTTTTATTGTTTATAATTATTTTTTTTTTTTTTTTCTTTGGACAAATAAATTATTGTTAAGCACCAACATAACACATATTTAAAGTATGAATTTCTTTAGCTAACCAAGCCCAATTAATATTCATTCTTCCAGTTAATTTTTGTTCATATTGTAGCAATTCATACATAAATTTAAGGTTAGGTTGAATGATAACATTAAGTCTTCTAGCTCTAACATATAAATATGATGATACCAATGATCTACCAAGATGTCTCATAATGTACGCAATTGTTATAGTAGCGGATCTAGAAACTCCTACTCGACAATGAATCAATATACTCCCATTTGATCGTCGAGCATTTTCTATAAAATTGATAAAATTAATCAACATGTTAATTATAACTTTTTCCCATTTTATTATATCCCTATTTCTTACTTACCGATAAAATTAACACAAGCATCTAAATGATTCCATAAACTATCAATACCATCATCATACAAATTATCCAAATAATGTACTTCAAATTCTTTCTTATCTAATTTAGAATCTTCACCAACAGATAAAACATGGGTAATTCCAAGGGCTTTTAACATACCAGCATTACATGCATGATTCAAGTTACCAAGATATAAAAATGGCAAAATTCTACTTGGAAAACTTCCTTCAAAAAATGGAGAAAAAAACCATGGAAACTTTTCATAATTTTCTATTTCCGGTTGCGATGATGATAATGATGTGGGTGGTGATGTTGAAGATTGCGAAGATGATGACGGTGAAGATGATGAAGAAGACGAAGTAGATGGTGATGACGGTGATGACGGTGATGACGGTGATGATAACTTTTGTTGCTCTATTTTTTTTCTTTCCCATATACGCTTCTCAATTGTTAATAACGTTGTTACATCATTTGGGTATACAAAAAAACTTCTTGTCTTCTGAAATCTAAGATATGCTTGTGGTAATCTAAGATTCTCATTATACATTAAATAAGTTAAAGTGAATAAAGAAGTTTCCGTATATCCGTCAGCACAATGAATTAATACTTTACGATCAAATTTGTTTGTTTGTAGTGAAATAAATTCACACAAATCTATTAATTTTGTTACTATCGAATCAAATGCTGCTGTATTATTGCATCCTACTCCTGATGATATACAATCAATATGAATAATATCATCCATCGGTGTTGGTCTACAAGTCGGTACATTTGCAAGTTGATCCGAAAAAACTTTTAATGCTGATTTATCTAACATATCTGCGAGATCATGTGATTCTATACAAATACTAAATTGATGCGGATTATCATCTATCAACGATATTGCAGAATCTGCTGGGTCCATATCACTTGATACTGGAACATCTTGAGTATTCCCTAGCTGAAACCAAAATCCGAAGTTTTGTTAACAGTAATTAGTCGATTAAATTTTTTTTTTAAGAAATGTTTTCTTTAAAACCAACTTCTTCAATATATTATTTACCCAAACATTATGTGAAATTTCTGATGCAGCAGTTAATATTCGCATTTCTTCTCTTTCTTGCTCCAGAAAATTAACTTTATTACGTACGATACCTTGTGTATCTATTGCAACAAGTTCTGGAAATTCTTTTTCGAAAAAAGAAAATGGATCTACGGAAAAAAAATAATTTGATCCACTAAATATTAAAATAATATGATTGACTAACTTGGTTTTTAAAGTATGTATTCACTTACCCAATATGACAAAAACTTCATAATCTATTCCATTTGGATTTTCTTCGCGTAATGCTTGTTGGGCCCATGCAGCTTGTTTAGCAATTTCCAGTACGGTATCATTCAAACCATTTTCACCATAAACAACAATATCTGACAGCGTAACGTATTTAGACACTTGGATTTTAAAATTCCGTAAATTAATTCCTTCGCCATCGTTCATTTTTAAAAAACTTCTGCGTTGACGATCATCACCGTTTGGAATAGGAGGATTGAAAATATCGGATGGATAAACAGAGCCAACTAATAAAGATTTTGATGTCTGTTCTTCAGCTTGGACTACAGTCACGCCACGATGCAAAGGAACAGGACTCTCTTGGATTCCGAAAAAACTATTTTGAGCAGAGTTCGATCCGTCTACACCATGTAACCACGGAAATAAAATATCATTTGGGAGTGGCGAGCTATGATAAGCTTCATGAATAAGATAATATTGCGATCCACTTAAAGCTCTGATTGGAGGATCCTCACAAACAAAAGGAAATACATCAAATACAGAAGGCGAAGGAGACCTAACTGTTGCAGGTGAAGAAGGCGGTGGTGATAAGGGCGAAGAGGGTGGAGTAAAAGGAGACGCTGTTAGTTGTTGCTGTTGTTCTACTGCTGCCATTTTATTACCATAAGCTGAGAATACTAAAAAAAAAAAAAAAACTCAAATAATTTTAATTTAAAAGGTGTGACCAAAAAAAAGTTTAAATCCGCGATAACACGATAATAAATAAATAAAATTTTCGAAAGTTATACGCTGAGCCTTACTCGTGAGCAATTTGTACAACCTAATTTAGTAATAACTAACTTTCATTGCAGCCTCAATCTTTTCTATTATTATCCTGGTACGAATCTCGTGATGACCCTGTCTAACCTTTAAATAATTTTATCGATTTACAAAGATATTTAACATATGCAAATTTAGCATACTTTTGATAACAGGTTTTCTTTTTTGTAACAAGATTCAATAAACTAATAAATAGAGTATGTTACTTGATCAGTCAATCTTTTTAATTAATTAGCGTAAATAAAACAAAATTTTAAAAGTTTGATGATCAATTCGTTCGTTCAATTTTTGTGCAAACATTTACGGAAATTTTCTCGAATCTATTTTTCCTCAATCAAACTTTCTAAACTTTACAAACTTCAGTTTAGATCCTTATAAACAAGTTTGAAGCAAGTTAAAGTACACGAGTTAGGTCAATAACTTCCCAAAAAAAATGTCATTAACCCCTGGCCTTTTCCCAATGTTGATAAGTATGTTACCCAGTTTTTGATACAGATAATTCTGGCCTGAAATTAATTTTAGCCAGGGCTAAAAACTAAAAAATTACAATTTGCTAAGAGAAATAATTTATATTAATTTTTCCAACTATCACCGGGGGTGGTGATCACCGGTGACTGAAATTATGATGATCGACCAGCATTAAAAAAATATAGTGCCAGTAAAAATTGATAATTCTGGCCAACGGTGATGATCAATTTGAAGTAAAAATCTTTTTTGAAATTTTTTTTAATTATTTTGCGTAATTAGTATGTAATTATATTTATTTTATATATTTATACCATTTGATACAGCAATTTTGTTATACAAATGATTTGTGCTAAGAATGGCAATATAGACTTATAATAATAATAATAAAATATTTATTAAGATTAGTTCAAATAATAAATTTCATAAAAGACCAGTACTTTGGAAATTTATATGGACTAATTTATATTAAGGGTTATAAAGTACCATAATATCGGTCTACAAATAATAAATTATTATAAATAAGGAATAATAATAATCATTTGTTTTATAATAATAGTTACTTACCACCAAAATTACCCATTCCAGGTTCAATAAATAAGGTTTCATCATTAATCTTCGGGTCAATCATTGATGTACATATTTTGACTTTTGGAAATACATTCGTTATTACATGTAAACCTATTAGCAAATAATAAATAAGAACTTTATTACAGAATTATATAAGATCAAAGGCATCCAAAAATAATTTACCTAATGGAGTTGCAAGAAAATTTAAGAAAATTATTTTATCTTCGGGTACATCATGATCTAATAATACTCGTATGGCCATAAGCGCAGCTGCTCCAGTCGCAATTTGTGCATCCTAATTAATTTAGGAATAATTGAATTAACAAATTTAGTTATCACAAAGATAAATTATATCTCTTACCATAAGTAGTACATAACATTCATGAATATTATCTGGTAAGCTAACAAAATGTAGCTAAAGCATAATAAAAAGATAGCATGAATTAATAACAAATTTATAACAAACACAGATTTTTTACTTACTGATGGTTCTCCAGTTTTGGGGCGAGACTGAATCAAGATTTTTCCAATTAAAGCATCTTTAACAACTCTTCTCAAACCAACTTCCATTGTACCTCCTGCACGTAAAATAGATACTCCACAAATCTAAAAAAGGAGATTGATGTTTCCATAAATAAGGTATAATTTCAAAAATAACAGTCATCTTTTGTATACAATTTAATTACCTTTTCTATACATCTTTTTCCAACATATGGTATATTAAGCGGTGTAACGACTTCATGTTTTTCATAAGTTAATTCAGATAGTGCTCTAAAGAACAAAAGTCCAAAAAAAGAATTCAAAATAAAATGTACAAAATAATTAAATAATTGCGCATAAAACTATTCGCTAATGTACTATTATAATTTACCTTTCTACAATAATAGCAACCAATCGCTCAGAATAAAATATGAAATCATCAAGATGCGTATTTTTGTCTCTTATAATAGTATGTATTCCCTATCGAAAGTAGGATTTCTTCAGACAAAACGTATAGCGAACGACAGAATTAAAGTGATATGATGAAAGTTTACCTTAAGTTGAGAAGTTTGATCCAAAATAATGACGTTCTCCGGTATTTTTTTATCATTATAATCAATCTTTAAAAGGTCCCATCGAAAATTAAATTGACGTTCATGCAATTGACGTTGAATATGTTTAGTAATTAAATCGATGGCGACTAAATTATCAAGACCACGTGGAATTATCTATGGAGTGAAAAAGTTGGCTTAAAAACACATCATACGATATAATCTTAATAATATAATAAGCATACCACATCTGCATTTTTAACAGTAGGTTGTATGTATTGATCAAAAGCCGGTTTTACAAACTTTTGATATTGCTATCATGAAACAAAAAAAATTGGATCAGAAAAAAAAAATTAGCACCTAAATAGATGTTTGTCGGAATATCATACCTGAATTACACCATTTATATCACGCCCTCGTTCACTAATATCTCGTTTTACTAAAATTAAGTTTATAAAATAATAAAGATATTTTATTTGATGACATTTTAAAACATGCTACCCAGATAATGTAATTCTTCTTACATCGACGAATAAGCCGAATGTCCGAGTCCGTGTCAACAAATACCTAAAATAATAACATTAAAGATTAGATAATGACCCATGTGACTTATATTAAGAGGATTTAATGCTTTGATAGGGAAACGTCATACATATGCTAAATTTTTTATTTTTTTTTGCCTGCGTAAATAGCGAAGTTACTAAAAATGATCAGAAATATAAATAATACGAGAGTATTTATTATATTTCACACAAATTTTAATATAGGACGGAGTATTGACATATGTAATTTCCTAAGTAATTCCTTGCAAATCCACTTTGCCTTATCAAATTGCCTTGTTGAATGTTAAACTTCAAATAATAATAACTCTACGTTATTTTGGATAAAATCCAAAATGAGCAAAATTCAAGTTTAGGAACAATCAACTATGAAGCTTCATATTGATTAGTTAATTAAATATGCTATACTCTTTAGCCAACTCTTCATAAATTAAAGTTTTTTATCGGTTCGAAATTTGTCTAAATTTTAATGCTCATTAACCATTTCCTAAATACGATGCCCCAAATGTAATTTAAATTTTACTACAAATTGAATCTACAAATTAAATCCGATAAATAAAATAATTCATACTTTGAGATCCATCAAATCCATAATTCTTTGATCGTAAAGTGCAAAAATTCCTTCAAAGATAACAACATTTGCACCATATAAAGAATTTTTTTGTGAAGTTCTAATGAACACATAAAAATTATTTTAAATGGGTATTCCAAATTATACAAAAAAAATCATAAATAAAATACCTAGAATGAGTTATAAAATCATAAACTGGGATTTCTGTTTTCTTTCTAAAATATTAAATTTATTGTATAAATTATTAAGAATTAAGAAATTTAATAATAATAGATCTTTCTAACCCTTCTTTCATATTCTTTAGCGTATATAATAATAAATCAAAATCAAAGGCATCCGGATGATCGAAATTATAATTACTAAAAAAAGAAACATAGATGATTATATATAAAATGTAAATGAAATACATTATAACTAAACCTACTTATTTTGTGCCTCTATTTTCTTTTCGAGACTTAATTCTTTATAAAAGGAATCCATACTCAAAAGAACTACCCATGGCACATTAAGGTTTTCTATAATACGTCTACATATGAAGATTCATTAGTTTAATAAGTACAAATATTTTAGTGAATATAAGAAAAGCTTACACTGCTACACTAGTTTTTCCGCTTGCACTACCGCCTATTCATAATATTTTTGTTTTAGTAAAGATCATTAATGGAATGGAATTAATTAGTATTTACCTGCAACACCAACAAGATAACAATCGAATTTCGATCCATCCAGTCTTAATTTAAGTTTGACGAATTTTGTACTCAGCTTCGAAAATGTGTTTTTTAAAAGAAATAAAGAAATATCGCGTTAGGTCTTACCTATACCAAGGTCTAGAAGTACAAAATCATAAAGCATGTAAGCCAAAAATTATTATCTCAATTTAACTTTAGTATCGAACACTTACGATCTTCCTTCGCCTCGCAGAAACACGTTATTTCTATAATTCGACATTATTGATTTAATGATCTGCAATTCCGGTTGTAATCTTAAACAATTCCTTTATCCAATCAAAATTAGTCCCCAAGAAATACCGATAAAAAAAATTTTTCTTGTTATCAACTTTTTAGATTTGCAATGGTAAGACATTATGGCATTTTCAAAATTGATGTTCTTATTCTTACGCTTGTGTTTAAAATTGTTAGAGACCTATTCTTTTACAAGGACATACTCGTTCCCTCACGCAAATCAAATATAATTATGAAGGAGATCTTCTTTTCTCTGTAGCAAAGGATCAAGTAGTGAACGTTTGGTATTCACATAATGGCGAACGATTGGGAACTTATCATGGTCATGTTGGTGCAATATGGACGGTTGATGTTAATTGTAATTGTCTAACCATATTATGTTGTATTATCATAATCTCTTGTTTAATTTAATTTTTTGATTTGGTGAAACAATTTAGCAACAAGTTCCATCTTATTAACTGGATCAGCAGATAACTCTGCAAAACTGTGGGAAGTTAGGACTGGTAAATGCTTACATACTTGGGAATTCAAAACTGCAGTTAAACGCGTTGCTTTTTCTGAAGATGATAGTATGGCTCTCGTCGTAACCGAAAATCGTATGGGATATCCAGGAACCGTAACTGTTTTTTCAGTTAAAAACGATATTGATGCAGAACGTAAAATTTTCTCATTTTTTAAAAGTTATTAGGTTAGTTAAGTTATATTAACATAATATATTTATAATTTAAATTTAGAATCTGATGAACCAACTATGATTATAAATCAGGAAGGTTCGAAAGCCATGGTTGCTGCGTGGGGATATCTCAACAAATACATAATAACTGGCCATGAAAATGGTGAAATTTCTCAATATGATTGGAAGGTTAGCTGAAAAATAAGTTCTTTTTAGAAAAGAGGTCGAATATATCGTTAACATATGCATTTAAATTGTTAGACGGGTGAAAAGATTAAATCGATTCATCCGCATACAGATGTGATTTCCGATCTCCAGATGTCAGAAGATCGCACATATTTCATTACATCCTCGAAAGATAAATCAGCACAAATTTTTGAATCAAATACACTTAATCCTTTAAAGAAATATGCTACTGATGCTCCTCTGAATTCAGCATCTATAACTCCGATTCAAGATTTTGTCATTTTAGGAGGTGGTCAAGAAGCTATGGAAGTTACACTCACTAAATTGAGACATGGTAAATTTGAATGTCGATTTTGGCATAAAATTTTAGAGGAAGAAGTGGGACGTGTAAAGGGTCATTTTGGTCCTATCAATACAATTGCCGTCCATCCGAATGGTAAAGGTTTTTCCTCTGGTGGGGAAGATGGCTATGTTCGAGTTCACCATTTTGATGAAGATTATTTTAAATTCAAATATCCCGAATTATAATAGTATTTATATATCATAATATTGGTGATATACTAATTATTATAATACAATAAATTCTTGTATTATTAAAATTTAAACGTAGAGCTTTATATGAATCATTTGTGTTTTCTATATCTAATGATTATTACATGTGTGAATATTTGCCGTTTATAAAATATAGCAAAAAAAAAACTATGTACAATCAAAATATTTTTGTCAAATTTTTTCCAGTGCTTCCATTATCACTACCGAGTTACCACGAATTACCTAAGAAAAATAGTAATAATAATAAATATTTATCAAAGAAAAAAACACCTTTTTTTACAAAGTACTAATGCTCACCACCATGCCAACGTTATGTTTTTCAGAAGACGAAACTTCTTCAACTGTATCATCTAATACCAAATTCATAAATGGATCGTAACCACGTAGAATTCCAGTTACTTTCCTACCTCCGTTCAATTGAATAAATAAACGTTTCTCCATATATCTATTAAAGAAAACAGATAGTTTAAATAATTAATTAATTGTAATGAGCTGATACAATACACGCGTCAAAAATAAGTACTTTTTTAATTCTGGTTGTGATGCTTTAGACATTTCGTTTCAAAATTTGGAGGAAATAAATTTGAAAGAGGTTTAAAAGGTTTTATTTTAGTCAGTGATTAAGTGATGATTTTTTGATCGGTCAAACGTGTCACAACTCCGATAGATTTTAACTAACACTGGTTAATATTGATGAATTAAAAAAGTTTCGTATTTTCACGTTCTTACTATTTGTACTATTTGTCAAGAGTAAACAGTTTTTAACAAATTGTAATGTCTTCTTCACAAAACAAAACGTAAGTAAAGAAATATACTTGAAATTTGCTTATAATGTCAGTGTTCCTTCTTGATTTTGAGTTATAAATAATATTATAGCCGGAAGCGCAAGTGGGATCTTGATGATCAAGGAAAGAAAGCACCCCCTTCTTCAACTACTGCGCCTACATCAAAATCGATAAAAGTAGAAGCTATTAGTGATCCAGATGTGTCTGAATCTAAAGTTTCCTCAAATACACCAAATTCCGAAACAAACGATCCTAATCGTGCTGCAGGTTTTTGTGATTTTATTGAAGATATTCTGATACTTATTCAAACCAATCCTAAAGTATTGCTTTTGATTTGAAACAAAATAGCCGCTGCTGCAGCAAAAATAAATGCAATGCTCGCTGCTAAAGGCATTCAGGTTCCAATGAAATCAGTGGTAGTACCTAAAGCTGAAGCCGCTGATAGTGGTAGTGGTGAGGTATGATATAAATACGCGTTTCTTTTATATTTATTATCTATTAGTTTTGTTTTCTGTAATAGAATCAAACATCTTTAAAGTTGCTATTTTGGCTTAAAAAGAAGTTTATTTCATATTTTCATTATTTTTTAATTTATTAATTTTTTCAGGATTCTAAACACATCAAGCAGGTTACCAAGGAGACTGATATGGAATTTACTACGGATATTACAATCAATGATTGTAAAAATAGATATCTTTTGACTAAAGGTTCGACTCAACAAACGGTAAGGATCAGAATATTAGAAGCTCAATTTTTTAGATAAGTGTTATCGTTATGATGTAGTATGTTATATTAATTATAAATTTCTTATAGATCCAAAAAGAAACTGGTGCAGGTGAGTACTACATTTTAATAAAATTCCGTACAACATAAGATTAATAAAAAAAATTCGTTATTTAGATGTGACAACTCGTGGAAAATATTACCCTGATAAACAACTTGCTACCGAAAAGGATCCTCCTCTTTTTTTGCACGTGACAGCATCAACTCGTGAGGCCTTAAACGCAGCAGTTAAGAAAATAAATGAGTTAATGGAACAATCTTTTACTCCTGCTCCGCCTTCAACAACGCCTCGTCCACCCGGTTCTCATCCAGGAGGAGTATGTATTTATAACCTATTTTTATAAATATCACCTTTTCTATTTAAATTAATAACCCTAAATTTATAATAGAGACAATTTGTTCAAGATAAAGTGTTTATTGGCATCGAACCTGATCGTACTTTTAATGCGCGAGCAAAAATTGTAGGACCACAAGGTGCTTACGTTAAGCATATTCAGCAAGAGACTGGAGCAAAAGTACAGCTTAAAGGTCGTGGATCTGGCTACGTTGAACCCACATCGGGAACTGAAGCTTTCGAGCCATTGCATATTCATATCACGTATGTAAAAATAGCCGATTAAAAAAATATATGCATATAGTTTTTCTTACTATATTACTATTTTTGTTTTATAGATGTTGGAGTCAAGAAGGACTTGATAAAGCTAAGAAATTATGTGAAGATCTTATAAATACAGTGAAGGCGGAATGGGATAGACATAAAGCACAACAAGCTGCATATCCTTCCTACGGAAGATCACCATATCCTCGTCCGCCTGCTTATGGGCCTCCACCTCCAATCGCAGGGGTACGTAGTATATTACTACCAAATAAATTAATGTAAAAGTTATGAATATGAAATTTAATAAAATTTGCCTTGATAGTCTTACCCTCCACCACCTGCTAATCCTCCTTTGCCCAGTGGGCCACCACCGCCAATTAGCGGTAATCCACCACCCCTGCCACAACCTCCGCCACCACCTCTTATATCTACGTCGGCCCAAAACACTTCTTCGCAGCCTCCTTTACCCTCTTATCCACCACCACCACCACCTTCACAGCCTTCTTCAACCTCTGCATCAACCCCTGCATCAACCTCTGCATCAACCTCTGCATCAACGTCCGTAACAACAAGTTCTTCACCTACCATAGCTTCAAATCCATATAATAATAGTAATACAAGTTCTTATGGAACAAACACAAATAATGCGTACTCAACTAGTAGCGCTAGCTATAATCCATACAATCCATATAATCAATCTCGGTACTACCAATATTCTCAGTATAATTATTATTCACAGGTTACTCAACCTGCCACACAGACCGATGCAAGTAATTATTACGGTTATACGGGTTATCCTACGGGTTATCAGACCTCAACTGGATATCAAACCACATCTACGACAGCCCCACTTCCGCCGGTGACATCTTCAGCTGTGACAAACACATCATCATCTGCCTACGAGGATAAAAAGCAAACTGAATCTTATCATGCTGTACCACCACCAGATTTTTATGATAATGAGGTTGGTAAATAATAATAATGCAAAGCTTTTAAATTGTATTTATCTGGTTCTTTTATTATTTTTCTATTATATTTTATTTTTTGGTGAGGGTAATGGCTGTTTGTGTTGGTTTGATATTTCTAAAAGACTCGAAAAGGGAGGGTTGGGATTTCGCGTGAGAAACGGTGCGCAGATGCGCACGCTACTTACATTGTAAGTTTTTTTCTTCTTTTAGAGGTGAAAATTAACCGAATAAGCAAAGACTTGGTTTTGTTTCTTATTTTGTACGAAAAAAAGGAAACTAGACAGGTCTCCACTCAAACCTTTGGCTACAGAAAATCGTATAATTTTTTGTTTTGCCGTTTGTTAAAGAAACGATGCGTTTTTAAACTAAACAAATCGATTAAGTTTATTTTAGAATCTTGAAAATATGGACAAGTCTAAAAACGATTCGCGTAATATTTACTCTTAATATTGTCTTAGTTATATTTTCCTTTCAAACGTATATTCCCATGATCCTCAGGCTAGTTTATTTTATTTCTGTTCTTTTTATATTGTATCTATGATTATTTATTAATTGTTAAAAAGTAATAAATGAGGTCAAAAAATCATTTTATATTTCTTTAATTTATAAAAGATTTCTTCATATTAACGATTTTGTTGTTCAAATATAAACTTATTTATTTTTTCATTTTAAATTGTAGCCATCGCTTTTTGAATAAGCAAGGATTTCAAAAAATTTATGCGAATCCGATATTGGAATAATACTCGGTATATCATATTGACAAAACATGAGTTTTTTCATTATATTAGTATCATTTTTTAAATTTACTATTTCTAGTTCATTTACAGTATATAAAATAGATCATTAACCATTTTCTTTTCTTTTCTTTCTTCTTTTTATTGCTTGCAATTAATTAATCTTCTGTTAATAAGACAGCCGAAATTTGATTGATACTTATTAATCATAAGAAATGAAGGAAATGGTTAAATAAATTAATTTTTTATAAATGTAAAATAATAATAGTATTCCAAAATAAAATAATAAATAAAGTGTGATATGTACTCTACTCAATAAGGTTAAATTGGTAAAAAACGGCAATAAAAGCGATCAAAATTCCAATCAAAATCAAAACAAGTTGAAATATTCCTAAAGTAAAAATAATTATAAATATATAACTAAAAAAAAATTAAAGAAATGTAAATATAATATTAACTGTACCAGGATTAAAATTTTCCGGAAGTTGTAAAATATGAACAGTATTATCAGCAGATCCGCTTACAAACAAAGTTGAATCATGGCTGAATGCAATAGTAGTTGGCGGGAACCCATGTACTTTAGGCACATGAAGCAAAACCTTTAGTGTTTGGGAATCGCAAATTCCAATGCTATGATCAGATGCTCCGAATCCCAAAAATTTCCCGTTGTCACTTGTTTAGAAAAAAAAAGTTTTTAGACCTAAAGGAAGATATATTCTGCAAATAATTTAAATTACCTAATTGTAAATGCTGTAATTCGTCTTTTGCCAATAACTTTTGTTGATATTCTTTCAAAAGTTACTGCATCCCATTTAACAATAAATGTTCTAGACTCAGAAGTCATATTGACTACGGTGTAAAAAAACCTTGCGGAAATCCCTTTACCAAACCTGCATGCTCTAAATTGACATCGGGAAGATTTCCTGAATACAGGTTTTTCTATTTCATGAAAACACTCTCCTTTTTTGGTGGATAGAATTTTTAATGTGTTCACGGATACTACTAAAAGCTATTATTATAATGTTATTTAACTTATAATTATGTAATGTATTATTATTATTTGATCATTTAAAAGTTCGTATCTTGCCTGATTTCCAGTTGGATCAAAATCCAAATCATATATTTCTTGTTTGTTAAAATTCACGGGAGGAAAAGCGACACGTAATGAAGGATAATTTAAAACAGTCAATTTGCTATCTGTACCACCGGTAGCCAACAACTTCCCGTCTTGACTAAAAGCAGTCACTTTCTAACAATTACACCTGATTTATTAATTTTCCTATAATGAATTAAAATTATGATAGTTCTTTACCTGATAATCATCCACATTTGTACTTGTCATTGTTTGAATCGTTTTAACTAATTCTATCCTTTATATTATTTAAAAAAAATTAATACTTTTCTTATTCTGAAAGAAATAAGACATTACATACTTTTCATTTGAGTATTTAAAAATTCGACAATTATTATTTTCGCCGATTATTATCTTTTCTTCAGAACTATTGATACCACAAGAAAAAATATTCTCCTACCAAGACTTTAAGAGTTTAATTGAAAAAAATTCAACGAAATCAATTGTAATCAAAAATAAAAATCTCAGATTGTCACCTCATTATGAAAAGCAATACAAGTTGGCCTGTCCTCTTCTCCGCTTAATATTGTTTCGGTAAGCTTTTCAATAGTTTTTTCTGGAATCTTCAATTTGAATAAGGCCTAAACGAATCATTTCGAATAAGTATTAAATTATTGTCAAAATTTTAATCATTCTAACATACCAATTTGTTTTTTACACCTGTATTACCAGAACCGCCACCCCCACCAAGTAGTATGTCTCCCGAAGGAGTAAATCCTATATTTATTTATACGTATACATAAGTTCTAGTTTCAACATACAACTCATACAACTTTATATTTTTAGAGAGATTATCAAAGGTAAATGCGGAAGATCAATTTCCCATGTACCTGTACAGTATACAGGAAAGTCAACTTTGGTTGAGAATTTTTCAATGGTACGCGACATCTTCAATTCAGAGTCTAAAGCGAAAACTGCAAGAACTGCAATAATTGAGCTTTATTGAAATAAAAATGACGACTTTATATGAACAGAATATAAATTGATCACGTGATTTATCAACGAAAAATTTTTAGATTAAAAAATTACCATGTTGCCATTTGGAAAATGGAAAAGGATTTTGAAATAATTTTATTTACGCGTTTTAATTGATTTTAAACATCTTTAACCACTCTACCACGTTCACTAACATAAACACCATCTAAAAACTTTCGAATATCTTTATTCTTAACGGTTGTAGACTGTTGAATGTTGGCGGCTAAAAAATTTTTAATAAATAATTATTAATAATTCAATCTGATTTTCGAATTTCTCGTTAAATACCTGATTGAGAAACATTTTCCAAATCATTTCCAGTCAAAATTAATTCATCCTTTAGATTCTTAGAAATTTCAATGTCAACACCCTCCAACATCTTTACACGTCTAATAACCTTTTCACCTAAAAAGTTACGAATTTCAACTTCTTTTTTATCGTCACTAATATGAACGTTGATAGGAAAATGTGCATAAACATAGCGCATCTTGTATTCGAAGCCCTAATCATAAATTTGTATAATTTAGTAAATATTTCGAATATTATTAAGTATAATTCATTAACAAACCTTAGTAACACCAGTGATCATATTTTCGATATGTGCTTTCACCGTACGTAAACAAGCTACATGTTTGCGAGTCCCATGCCACACAATAAGTTTGATCTTATCGTTCTTGACTTGTATCTCTAAATCGATGTGACGAAGATTCTTTGTCAAACTTCCACGTTCCCCTTCAACTGTGACAATACGGGATTTAACTTTTACTTTTACATTTTTAGGTATGGTAAACTCTTCGATTTTACAGATATCCTTCATTTTTTTTTATTTTTTATCCTGTGAAAGAATAAATATAATAAATATAAAAAGTCAATTGAAATTATCTTGATTAAATAATAAAACAGAAAAACCAAAAAAAGGAAAGTTATCGAAAATTTTATTTTCTTTTAGCAGAAAGAAAATATTTTCTTTACTTAATTTCAACCGTAATTTTAATGATTGAACTAACCAAACACAAGCCGACACTTAAGTGAACGGATGCAAGCTGGATGATGAGGAAAGGAAGAACATTTAATATTATATTTCACGTTTTATATTTTTTTTTTGTGTTGCAGTAGATGAATTGTCACGTGTAATGTGATTCCTTTGCAGTGTTACCGGGATATAAAAATTTAATTTTAATCCTCCTCAATTTTTTCGTTTTTAATTTTATCAATAAAATGTCATTTTCTTTTATAAGAACTTCTTGTACAGCGAGAAAGTTGCATATGCGGCTAGGACAGGTTCAATTAAGAAGAGCAAGTGGTCATGAACCTCAGTATAATGAACCTGGAGGTTATCTATTTGGTGAAAGAGTAAGTATGAGTTGATACCGTATTTTCTCTCGTAAATTTAATAATACTTTCATTTTTTTTTTATTCGTCAGCCTTTACCACCAGGACAAAAACGCGTGAAAGAGGATTGGGAGAATATATGGATTTATGGTATGGGCGGAAGTTTGCTATTGGGAACCATTATCGCTATTTATAAACCTGATACAAGGCAAGAGCATTTCTTCGATTTCGATTTAATTCTTTTTTTTTGATTGATGACTATTAATTTGATTTTTAATTGATACTATAGTATACAATCATGGGCTACAAGAGAAGCTAAAAAACGATTAGAAGAACGTGGCGAGAATTTAACGTATCCAACAACAGAAAACAATGAAAATTCTAAATAATAAATTTATTACAACTTCAACTTTATATTAAGCTAATTATCTTATTCCATTACGAATAAAATAATTCATCGTAAATTTCGAATTTATTTTTTCTCATCAAAAAAATGTAACGAAAATGCGTATATATACATATATTATTCAAGAGATTTTGGCGTTCGACAAATCAAGTTCAGGATGCTGTGCTTGGAATTTCTTCAGGATTTCTTCCTTTTTTAATTCATCTGATGTCTTTTTACCCATTTGTTTTTGACGTTGATCAAACTAAAAAAAAAAAATGTTTTTAAATAAGTGCAAATGTTAATTTTCAATCTACAAATATAATACTGAATATACTGAATTCAGAATACCATCATCTTCTCCACCATTGCACGAGTTTCGCCATCCAAATCACTTAATTTAGAATTTTCAGGTTGAATTTTCGTTGTGTCAATAGCAGGATGAGTGGTAATGACATTTTTCCACCATTCCGCGTCATTAACCTTTTCCAAATGAATATAAACTTCTTTTTGATCCTCTACCATAGAATTGAATTTTAGTTTAATAAACAAGTATTTTGATTTATTTGTATAAAATATAAAATTTACCAAGCGTCCAAGTACAGTCGTCAATTTTAATTTCTTTACATAATTCGCCCTACAAAATAATCCCAAGCTCTTGTTTATAAAATCATCATAAATAATAAAAATGCATGACAAGTCAATACCTCAATGATTGGCGGATTATTTTTCAAACCAACGGTCAAATGTTTTTTTTTAATAATAACATTCAAATCCTTAGCTCGCGTTCCTTTTGGTACAGGGACAGTTACATCAACATCCTGTAAAGTTTGTTTCCACTTATATGGTAAAGCTAAATTGCAGTATTTATTTTAGGATTTGCTCCTATAAAAAAATGATAAAATTTCTCCGATATATTTACCAGCTTGTTCGGCAGCTTCTTTTTCTCTGGCTATTCTATCATGTTCAGCTTGTTCTTCAGGCGTCATATCATCATAATTTTTATTGTCTGACATTTCGTTTTCACGTTAATAAATGAGAATAAACAATGCAAGTACTCTTAATTCAAAAAAGCTTTGCAGATGACTGATTATATACTAACACGTGATCTAATAAAGTTTCTAATTTTTAATTCTGGCCAACTTTTTTGATTTTGGCCTACATCATATATTTTAGAGACTTTATATCCTTTTGATGCGGTGGTAGGATTATAATTTAGTTATCTTTCAGCTTAATAATTTATCGCCATTTTCGAATTACTGTAAACAGTTTAAAAAGGATAATAATGATTTTTTTTTCAAAAATCCGCGAAAAAGTAAATTTTAATGCATTTTTGGATAGAGAAGGTGCGGTTATAACTTGAAAACGTTAATTTCAGAGCAGAAAACAATTCTTTGCATATATGCGACTTTTTGAGATTTCGTGTAACCTAAAAGTTCTCTATAAGTAAGAGTTGGATTTTCCGTTATAATCGCACCCTTCTCCATCCAAAAATGCAATAAAATTTACTGTTTTCATGGGTTTTAAGAAAATCCACTTTTTTTTATTTTATTTTTCCTGTTTATACTGTTTACAATAATTCGAAAACGGCGATAAGTAATGGTTTTTTCAGTTTTTTTCATGGTCATTTGTGACACTATGCGGACAGATGATCATCACGTAAAAATTACGTAAATAAATAGTTTATAGTTTATTTGTTTATTTAGCCTTTCTATATTGTCAGTTTAAAAATATTACTTATAAATTAGGCCAGAATTGGAATTTTGACCAAAATTCCAAAATTATAATATATGATCAATAACAAAATTGAGATAATTCTGGTCCGATCCTACATATAGTAATATATAGTAATGAATCACAATGATAAAAATTCATCTTTTCGCTTGTAATACTCTTTAAACCGTAACACAGCATATTCCATATAATTAAAATCAATATCGGAAAGCTGGGCTTGAATCTATTAAAAAGAAAGATTTAGCAACTTAATATAGAAAATATATAAATAAAATTCTTGAATATTACCAAACCCCAAAGTCCCCAATAAAAATGAGAAGCTAACGCAAATTTATTGACTTCTCGATATAATATAGAAATTTCCTCATCAGTAGCATCGCGAGCTATAAAAAAAGTAAATTAGCACTTTTGTCACTAAAAATTTGAATAAACAAGACTTGAACTTATATTTACTGGAATTAAATGCATTAAGATAGTGTCTCAACCATTGCATTTGAAATTTCTCATCAGGATACAAACTATAATCACATTCAAATCCAGCAAATTCACAAAAATGGTTTCCGATGTCAAATCCTCGGTAGCTATAACATGCATATTCATAATCAATGAATGAAACTTTTTTTGCAGATTCATTATAAATAATGTTTGCATAAAGGAGATCGTTATGACAAAACGTAACGGGGGAATTAACTTTTACCAATTCCTGTTCCAAACTAATTAACTAAATGAAATATTTAATTTTATTTAATAAATTCATATAAGTTGTTATATTCTGGTGTCATTACCTCTTTATTAAGCTTTTCTATATTGAAATGTTTTAGGAATTTCTCGTCGTTGTCATAAGACTTTGTTACTATACAAAAAAAACAAATAATTAATATATTGGTAATATATTTGTATAGGTAATATATTGAGTAAAATTATTACCTTCTTTAAGCCATTTCTTTAAGGTAATAAATAAATTCGGCTTTTTTTCTCCCGCAATATCCGTGCCATGCCAAATAGCCAAATTTTTGGCAGCTAATAAAGATTTGAACGGGTCACTTAAATCAGCAACAGAAAACACTTTCCCTTCTATAAAACCGTAAACGATTCCGTTATTGAAGCGTCCATAAAGAGGTGGCGACAAATCTAAACTCGACAACGAAACTATATTCTAAAGTTAGGAAAACCCAATTAGACTTTAAGAATGCTCTAAACCAATACATTTAAATTTAATGGGTCTTACATATATTTCTTGTTTCCTGTCTATTAGAACTTCCGATTTATTACCATAGGTTCGAATTAATATAGAAAATCCAAGAGGCTTATTTGTGCACTTGATAACTAGGTTATTTTTAATAAGTTTAAGGTTTTTTAAGTTGTTTATAATCTATAATAATAAGTTTATTAGTAAATTTCCAGCAATAACAATTCTTATTTACGTTTATTGGTGATTCCATCTTTACATTGCTCTAACTCCAGGTCCTCTTTTTTCCAGGTGGGAAATAATCTCAAAGCAAGTTCTAAGGCGCATTCAAAGAGGTTTGACGACACTACGAAATAATCGATATATTTTATGTTATTTTGTATGTACGTTTCAAGTTGTTCCAAAGAACTAACATCAAACGCTCCGTTACTCAACATGTTAAAAAATAAGACAGAAAGAATCGGCAGAATTTTTAATTTCTTGATGTTTTAGGCAAAGTATATGCACTCGTGACATCACCTGGACCGCTGGACGCTTACAAACAATGATCTTCCCCAGTAACACCATAAAAAAGCTTGGGCATGTGATTTTGAGCATGTGATTTTGTTACATACGGCGCAGTTTGTGGCAGAAAATACGACCTGTAGAAATAAACCTAATATCTTGGAAATCACCAAGTATTTGACAGCCTAATTAATTCTCTGCAAAAACTAGTCTGTATTATAAAGTAGCAAGGAAGTCATATAGTTCTATTAATAAATTAGGTGAAGACGTTGAACATTATCAAAATAAGTGAACCATGGAAGGGGCATACTGATAGCACTCATTATTTACAATAATTTATTTTAAATTAATGTATTTTAATAAATTGAAATTGAATAAATTTTATTGTTAAATTAATATTACATTCTATTTTAATAAAATAATTACTCTAAAAGAATTTGTTTTACTCTTATGAATTAACATCTATAAAATTACATTATATTCTAAGAAATTATCTTTGAAGTGAGTATCTTAGGGTAAGGTAAGTTAGTTTAGGCGGAAATACTTATCCTTGAAGGTAACGTAGACGTTGGCATATCTTTGGGCTAGGTAAGGAAGGTTAGTTTAGGCTGAAACTTTTACCTTTGGAGTTAGTGTTGACCTTAGGGTAGAAATAACTGCAATTTCCATAGCCACACTTAGCCACAGTCAAATCACATGAATCACGTGCCCGAGCTTTTTTTGATCCTCATCAGCATTTTATACATGGTTATATGGTAAATGAAATCAACCGCCAATCAGGGTTTTATTAATATTAATACATATGATTGAAACAGAAATTGCTATATTTTGTATGTATTTAAATTCCTCAAGCTGGTATCTCATAATATACTACTAATTATGAAGTCAAATTGTTATCTGTCGTTCTTAATCCTATTTATAATAGTTTTCAACACTCTAGTCTGTCTCTTCTCCTTTTCATGTTCAGTCTGATTATCTAATGCTCTATCACCTACATCATCATCAATTTTTTTAAATGCAGACTTCAACATAAATACGAAATCACACTGCGTTGAAATTGCTACATTAGAGCCATTAGCAGTTAAAGTATCGTGCAAGCGCGAAGTTTGTTCGAATTTAGCAGCGGTAACTTCCGCACGATCTACAATTTCTCGCGGAACTCCTGCCATATTAGCCACATTCATTCCATAGGATTTGGGACATACTCCAGGTACTAACTTGTAAAGAAAAGTAACCTCTTTTTTGTGTTGATCAACTTGACAGCTCATATGTTTAAGAGCGACATTAGGATTCTTGTCAAATTCTTGTGTTAACATGCCATAATGAGTAGAAAATAGTCCCAAACAACCGATGTGCGTTGCCAAATAATGTAAAACCGAATAGGCAATAGCATACCCATCAAAGGTTGAAGTACCGCGACCTAATTCATCAAGAATGACCATAGATCTTGGTGTCGCTTCATGTAAAATCTTTGAAGTTTCGTTTAATTCTACCATGAAAGTGCTCTGTCCCGCTAGGATGTTATCATTTGCGCCAATGCGTGTATAGATTCTATCAAAGGGTGTCAAGCGACATTTTTTTGCAGGCACGCAACAACCTAACTGTGCCATAATAATTGCTACACAATTCTGTAATAAAGATGACATTATATATTATTAATGCTTAGATATATGTAAATTTGCTTGAGTAAATTATAAAGTTTCAAACCTGACGCAAGAATGTGGATTTTCCACCCATATTAGGACCGGTCAATAAGATAATATTTTGATTGTCACCTCCCAAATATGTGTCGTTGGGTATAAAATCTGTCGCAATGCTATTTAACAAGACCGAATAAGTACTTATTAAACACTTAAGAACACTCATCATCCACATAACATACCTGGGCGTAACGCAGGGGTGTCTTAGTTCTTCGAATTCCAAGACACTTGGTCCATCTTGCGCGAATTGAGGTCGACACGATGGTTCTGTAAAAATAATATAAATAGTTGTTCATTCTTCATAAAGTTATAATATCGACTTACCTCCCAATGCCTTTGAACTAGCAGCCAAGCTGAGCAAACAGTCTATCTCTGAAATGATTTTAACCGCGGATAACGTCTTTTGATAATGAGCATCAAATTTTTCATAAAATCTTCCTTGTAGAGATTTTAAAATATTGGATTTAGTCTCAAGTGATTCTTGAAGATCTCTTATAAATTTTTGGAGAGTAGAGTTCCAATAACGATTTACTTTCCGAGTACACGACAACTTCTTCCAATCATTTGGAACCTTTATACCATTTGGAACTTCAAGCTGATAAATTTCCTTTCCAATATCTTTGTATACAATCTTATCAGACCTAAAAAAATAAGTAAAATACAGCCATATTTAAATTATGTATGAATTTGACTATAAAAAGTTTTATAGCATACTTCAATAATTTTTTTGTCTCTTTCAAATAATCGTCTAGTTGCTTCTCAACCGTGCAAAGTTTTTGATTAATTTCATCATAATCCTGTTCGATTCCAGGATAAGGTAATAATTTCCCTGTAATCAAATGTGCAATGAATATTACATATAATATTGAATTTGCATCTACAAACGATAATTGAAAGAGAATAATTACCCTCTTTTTCAGCTTGATCATGATCAAAAGCTTCTTTAAAATATAACAACATGGGAGACAGATCCGGTACGCTCCCAATTAATTTAAGTAATTTACCCGAATAAAATTGTTTTGCATATTCTTTAAATTTATCTACTGTATCCTATTATTTTAAATTAAGATAAAAACTACAGTAAGGACACTTCACATCATAATATAAAAAAAGATGCTACTAACCATTAGCTTTTCGAAAGAAGTTAATACGAGTAAAAAGTCTTTTACTCTGCATGTTCCTGCATGAATCCGACTGATTAATCTTTCCAGATCTGGAAAATGTAAAAATGTTTCGTCATATAATTCTCGAAAACCAGGATGTTTATTTAATTCTTCAATAGCATCCAATCGTTCATTAATATCATCTACATTTCGAAGCGGATGACACAACCATTGTTTAAAAGTTCGCTTTCCTTTTTTTTAAATAAATGATATCATGTTATGAAATATGCAATGTTAATTTAAATAGTCGATATTCAAACGATTATTGCTTACCAAATGGTGTGATGCAATGATTTAACAATTTAAATACAGTTCCTTGATCGCTTCCATTTAAGTTATTCTCGAAAATTTCAAGATTCGCCAAAGTTTGACCGTCGAGGATTAGTGAAGTGCTATGACAAATCGGGTCATATATTCTGAAGTTTCGCAATGATACTAGTTCCTCGTCAAGTTTCAACTTTTTATTTTTATATAACAAACTAGTTAGGTTAAAAACATAACATTTTAATAAAAAGCATATTATATAATAAACTTACTGAACGTAAATACCAAATCAGTCCTATAAAGTATGTTAAATGATATTTTTAGTATAAAAGATTTTTAATAACAAAGCCTGTCCAAATAATACTTACCGCCTAAAGCGGACAACATTAAAGGCTTGTTCCGGGATATTTTAATAGCTTCAGGCCAAGTTTCTAGTTCCATAAATAATATTTGATTAATTAAATAGCATTACGATTTACTCAATACAACCCTAAAAAATACCCGGTTTATATTCATTATCATTATCTTCATTGATGACATCATCTTGATCAGATGAATTCTTTGGTTTATTAGAAAAATATCGAGAAAACCTAATCTCATCCCAAGTCGCATTAGCATCCCAAAATTCTCTTTCAGGTATCAGCCCGGTCCATATTGGGCAATTAATGCATGTTTTTAAAATGCGCTGTGAACGTTTACTGAGCATTCCCTAAAAAAAAGGTGAAAAAAAAAATAATAAAATAAATTCTAATAGTTTACGAAATTTATTTAGAAGTTAATTTAAAAGTTGATCATTAGAGCAAGAATGCTAACTTTTTCATATACTATTTCTTTTGGTTTGACTTGCATGATTAAAGTTTCGAATTGGGTCCTATCAATGTCATCAACAAATGACGCAAGATTGAATTCGCCGGTCGCAGTATCAACAAAACAAACGCCATAAGAAGGTGGATCAATTTCGTTTGGACAATGTTCCTGCGAATATAATAAGGTCAAACCGTCAATATCCATAATACTTGACAGGTAATAACATATAAACTTAGCTCGAATAAGATAACAACTTTAATTGACATGCAATAAGTTGACATTTCATCAGTTAATAATCCACCATCTACAATTGTTCCGGCAGTAAGAATAGAAGTTAACTGGCGTCTTATAACTTTTTCCTCCTGTAATGCATTCGATATTATTTAATAAAATTAATTAAGTCCATAAATTTCAAACAAGGAATGAGATAAATCTCCACCTTATTCTTGCTCGCTTTTTCGCGCATCTCTTTGCCAAGTGCTGTTTCCATTTGATCAACTCTTGCGACCTTGTGACTTTATATTTGAAAGAATTAGTTATTGAAATTCTTTAAAGTTGCCGATAAAAACAATTTTATTACCCTTTTGCTATAAACTTAGCTGCCCAATATTCAAAAGAAGACTCGGGTACGCCGACCATACGCATATTGACACGATCTGTAAGTTTAAGGTCGAATTCTGTGTGACCTATATCTGCATCACGTTCATACAACTCTAAGCAAGTTATACGAATTTGTACAATGTTGTTAATTATTTTAACGTGAGATGGTCACTATACGGCACATAAAATCATACCATAAAATTTTCCTTTCTTGAAAAATACAACCTAGGATTAATTCATAAGCACAATGTTATCATTAATTGTAAATAATACATAATCACAAAAATTAATAAATTTATATATCATACAGTATCCCAGTGATTAGATTTGATTTCCCAGTATTGTTTTTCGAACGGAGTAAACTTCGCGGATTTAGGAACGTACAAAGTACGTGGATCGTAATTAGGTGATCCTTTTATATTAAGGGAGAAGGAGAATAAAAATAATTATCACTTTAAAAGAATAGCATCCAAGATAAAAGTAAAGAAACAACACCTTCAAGATTTCCATCCACATCACAAACATTTTGCAGCCAGCTGTATCGCTCTTCATTCTTGGCTTTAAAATCCACAGCACGTTGCTTACATTGTAATACTTATTTAGCAAATTATAATATTATTCATATGTTTATAGAGTTTCAAAGATTTATACCTTCTTTTTCTCAGTATTAGTCATATGAGCTGAAGATGAGAAACTCGAACCTCGGCGAGAAGATGAACTCGAGGAAAATCCCTAATTATTATATGAATGGTAAAATATAATTTATCGATTTTATCAAAAACTTTCGAATTCGTCACTAACCTTTAATTTGAACTGTACGATATTTGAATTTTTATTTCGGTTTTTCTGATAAGATTTTGCCATTGAATTATCTTCCGAATCATCCTCACTAGCAGCTTCATCATTCATATCTATGCATGTATAAGAACGAATAAATAAATTTGTGGCAATGATCACACGTTAAAAATTAAAAATTAATTTTTTACCAAAATCATCACTTTCTTTTTGTTCACAATTATCGACATAGTCATCATCAATATTAGTATGAGGTTTTTCTATTATTTGATTTTGCAAATGATTTATATTTCAGTATGCAACATAATCATCAAACAACAACATGACAAACATACTTGAAGGAGGATCTGTGGAATCGTGCTTATCATTCGAATCATCATCATCAGAAGAAACGTAAATTTTACGTTTAACTCTTCGCTACAAGATATGAACACGTAAATTTAGAGCGTCATTTGTTCAATAAATTCACTTATAAAGAGTATCAACAACATACTCTCAAAACCCTTTCCCCCGAAGTTGACTCTTCGGTTATCTCGGCGATACTCGTAGTTTCTACATTATTTACTTGCTCGTTATCGATATTTTGCATATTTTTCTCCCGCCGAGATTTAGGAGTTACAGGAGTAAGAGGTAGCTCGAGTTTCTCGGAAGCTTTTCTTTCATTGTTAGCTTCTACTGGTACTTCTTTCTTAAGAAACGAAAGAAGGCTACTTTGTGTTGCGACTGGGGTAGAAGTTTTTCTTTTATTCTGTACTGAGTTCAACTTCGATTGTACCTTATTGCTAATTGGCATTTTAGCGGAACTTATTTTATGTCTAACTCGAAAAAAACGCGCTGTTCTTGCGTTGTTCTTGCAAGGATATAAAAAAAAAGTAGATCGCGTCTCCCTATAAGCCGATACGTCGCGTTCATAAATGCTTTTGAGAATCTACCTGAACATCAATCTTTCCACATTCACGTGACCTTTGGCTAGCATTATTGGTGCTTTTAACAAAATAACGATAATTATCAATTTTCACATGAAAAAGAATGAGGCTAAATCATTATTCAAAAGTGTAATCTAAAACAAAAATATACACGTTATTGAAGTTTTATTAACAATATTTGCATTTGTTATAATATATTATTGTAATTACAATATAAGATTTAATTATATAGTTTTACTTATATGTATATAAAAAATTTCAAAATTATATTAAAAATGAATTTCAAATATTTAATTAATAAAGTTAAAAAAATCAAAGTTAAAAAGAAATTCTAAAATGCATTTTTTAAATTATGCAATTAATACTAATTATTTACTAAAGTAATATTACATATTTGTGTTTTAATAACAGATAAGTAATTTTTTTACTAAATTAATCAAATTATTTTTAAAAAACTAGTAATATAATTATTTAATATTTTAACTATCATGATTAATGTTGCTGTCTAAAACTTATTTAATGATAAATTTTAAAATCTAAAACTCAAAAACTTTATTTTTAATGAAAAAATTGGTAAATCTGAAACTTTCTGAAATTATAATTAGTTTCAGAAAAGTATAAAAACAGTTTAAGCAATTAAATTTATTATAAAAAATAGTTTCAGATTGAATTTTAACTAAACTAAAATTTTGAAAAAATAGTTTTGGATGATTACCAATAACTGAAATTATAACAATTAACAGCATTAAAAAAATATAGTGTTAGTAAAAAATAAAAATTGATAATTCTAATCAATAATGATAATTACCCTGGTAATTTGAAGTAAAAAACTTAAATAAAATAAATATAATTGCCAAACAAAGTATTTTTACAGTAAAAATTTAAAATCAAACTTAATTAAAAAATTAATAATATTAATTGTTATTAGAAATTGGATTTAAAAACTAATTTGATTCAAAGTAATTTAAAGGTATTATATATTATAATTTTTTTATATATATCATTTGGCAAATTATTTTTATTTACATCTTATATATATCACATGTTATTAATAACTAATCATGATATTAATAACCAATAATATTTAAGTTTGCTTATTTGCAAAAACATATACAGTGACACCTCTCTAAGTGCACCCTCCTTGGGACCATAGTAAAAAAATAGTAGTGCATTTATAGAGAGTAAAATATTAAGAGCGCTTATAAGTTGGGACCAGGCCCACCGTGCACTTAAAGAGAATTTATATAGTGCGTGCACTTATAGAGGGTGCACTTATAGAGGTGTCACTGTATTCTTATTCGAAAGTTCTAAAAGGACCCAAACATTACATATATAACTTATAACTGATCTGCATGAATTTAGCACTTTTTGCTTCCACTAAAATAAACCTAATTTACTAAAAATCAAATTATCACATTTTAAATCTATACTAATTTGCTAAAACTCAAAATATGAGTTATCATAAAATTCTAAATAATATAGGTTTAAATTTGCTTAATAAAATATAATTTCAGTTTATTAAAATTATTTGTAGATTGGTAAATTTAATTGTTAATTTACCGAAATTAACAATCTTTTTTTTTTATTATCAATAAAAAAATAATAATTAATATAAATTAAACTGTCAATTTTTATAATTTATAATTAAAAATATGTAGATTATAAATAAAATAATAATTAATAAAAATAATAAATTAAATATAAATAATTATTAAAAAATAAAATGTTGCGAAACTAATTAGAAAGTTTTTGGCCTGCATTATGCTTAATTTTGGCCGGAATTATACTTAATTTTGGCCAAAAGACCCCGAAACTAATATTTTTAAAAATATTATCTATAAAAGTTAAAAAAAAAGGACAAGTTAAATTTTAAAAAAAAGTACCAATTTGCTCAAATATAAAATATGACTTTGTAAAATTAACACAATTTGCTAAAACTCATAATTATGATTATTAATTAATTTTCAATCAATTTGCTCTATTTAAAATTATGAGTTTAACCTAATTTTAATTGAATTTGCTAAAACTCAAATGTGAGTTATATATGTGATATCTGGAGTCCTGTTCTAAAAAACTTTTTTTTAAAAAAATAAATCTTTTAAAGTTAGTAAATAAAGTTCAAAAACATAGCTTTTTAATTATATAAATCTTATGTTAAATATTACAAAAATCTATATTATACAAAAATTTGTGTTACTATTTTATATAAATTTGCTATGCCAATCAATATGAAATCTCACATGAAATAATTACTTATTTTAGAAATTGTTTTTTTTTATTAGTAATTAATTAAATTTAAAGAAATATTTAAATTTAAAAAAAATAAAAATAGTTAGTGAATTACTCAATATTTATTAAATTAAATTTTAAATTTTGCTATTCCTATTTTTAAATAATACATCTAAATGCATACTATTGCTATTTTTGAAAAATAAATGTAAATCTGTCCTAAAGTAAATAACTTTTAATATATTTATTTAACAGTTTATAAGTTTAATTAAACAATTTAATTAATAGTATTTTTATCTAATTATCTATTTTATTCTAATTAAATAAAGATATAAAGTTATTGAAGTAAATTTTAATAAAAAAAAATTTATGATATGAAGATTTAGTTAGTAATTGTCAATAAATAAAAATAGATGATATTATTACTATGATTAATTAATATATATATAAAATATTATCTTTACAACTAGTCTGATTTTATTTCTTAAAAATTACAATTATAAAAAAAATTGAAAAAAAAAGAGTATAAATGTATATTTTACTCTAAATATTATAAAATTCTAAATATTTTTAAAATAACTTATACAGGTGATTTAAAGCAAATACAGCATAATACTTTATTTTTATTAATCTATTTTATAATTATTTATACTATTTTTTTTTTATAGATATAATCTTATCTTAATATAACTATGTTTACTTATATATGTTATACGCACTAGTCGAAATAGTCCAATTCAGCCAGATTTTGTATAGACAAATTTGGCCTGAATTATGGCTAAAATCTGGCTGAAGTTAGATGAATCTTCTAACCGAAAGTTCATATTGAGTGTTACCATTCAAACTGCCACTTATCTAAATTTCAGTTAAGTTTTGATCTACAATTTGCATAAGTTTCAGATAGCATTTTTATACCGAACATTTTGTAATTCATAAAATTGTATTTTATTTAATATTAACAATTTTATTATATAATATACTATATTTTGCCTATGTATATATACAGTCGACTCTGGTTATAACGAACCTATTTGTACCGAAACCTTGCTATACCAAATCATAATTTCCAGAACTAATTTTTTATAAATAATTTCACTGGATATAACGAACTTTTATAATAAAATACTATATAATGCATCCAAACTAAACTTAACCAGCCCCTATATATCAGCTATATAATAACTTTATACTTTCTATAACGAATGGTTATGTGACTATATAGTAGTCCAGGCCAATTTTATAGTGCTGGCCAGAATTACTAGTAATTTTTTTGAAAATTTATGTTAAAAGAAATTATAATTTTGGCCAGCATTACAAATTTGGCCTAAATTACCTATAAAGAAAACTAGTTAAGTATATTATATAACGAATTCACTATATACTGAACTAAACCTCCTGGAACAGAGGATTCGTTATATTCAGAGTTGACTGTATTTAATACTAACAATATATGTACTATTTTCAGCCTATATAACATACAGCTGTCTTAAAGGTTAGAAAATTTTTCATTATTGTGTAAAATAAATAAAAAAACTTTCCACCATAGATCCACACATCTAAATGTCTGAAGAACTGAGCTGTCTAAAAAATTAAGAAAAATAAACCATTAAAAATCATTTATTATTAAAGTAATAACAATTAAAGATATAAAAAATTAAAAATTTACTGAATTATCACATCCAAGGAGACTGAAAACCCCACTTAATAAGATAAAAAAGAATCGTTAGAAGCTGTTCATGAAAATAAAAAAATATTAAAAGAATAAAAAAAATGAAAAAATATACCGATAATAAATAGTAAGCGTTAGTATACTTCAAAAAGTTCACTTCCTACAAAATAATGAAATGTTAGTACATTTCTTCAAAGTAAACTTTAAAAGAATTGACTTCTACACACTTACCCTGTATCCCAAAAACTATAAGAAGCTGAAACCTACAAAATAAAAGAAAAAAATTAAAAAATAATTCATTTTTTTTAAAAAAACAATAAGTTTTAAAACTATCGAATACTCAAGAACAGAAGCTGAAACCTACAAAATAGAAAAAAATAATTATTTTTAAAAAAATATAAAGTTTCGAAGTGTGTTTGAAATGAACTTACCTATCCAAAGTCCAAAAACTGAAGCTGAAACCTACCAAATAAAAGAAAATAATTAATTAAATAAAAAAATTTTTTTAAAAAAAAGACTCAAAGCTTTTACTTCGAAACTCACCTATCAAAATTCAAGAACTGAAGTTGATATCTACAAAACAAAAAAAAAACCAATATATAATTTTTTTAAAAAAATTATTTTAAAAAAAAGAATTTCGAAGTGTTCACTTTGAAACTCACCTATCAGAGCCTATGAACTGATGCTAATACTTACAAATAAACAAAAAAAAAGTTTATTAAAAAAAATATATATTAAATAAAAGTTTTGAAGCTTTTGCTTTGAAACTTATCCATTCAAAGTCTATAATCTGAAACCTGAGATCTACAAAATAAAAGAAAAAGAAATTAATTAAAAAAAAACAAATATTTTTAAAAAAAAATCTCAAAGCTTTTAGCTTCAAAACTCACCCATCAAAAGTCCATAAACCAAAACCCAAAACCTAAAAATAGAAGAAAGAAATTAAAAAAAGATTATTTTAAAAGTTTTGAAGCGAAAGTGAAACTTCGAAACTTACCTAACAAAACCCAAGAATCGGAAAATAAAACCTATAAAATAAAAAAAAACAAATTAATAAAATTAAAAAAAAAAAAACTTTAAAAAAAGTTTTTAAGCAAAAGCAAAACTTCAAAACTTACCTAACAAAGACC